TACTGGAATGAGTTATATGATGTAACAGTACTTGAATGAGTGATATGGTGTAACAGTACTAGAATGAGTTGTATGGCGTAACAGTACTGGAATGAGCGATATGGCGGAACAGTACTGGAATAAGTGGTATGGCGTAACAGTACTGGAATGAGTGATATTGCGTAACAGCACTGGAATGAGTTGTATGGCGTAACAGTACTGGAATGAGCGATATGGCGGAACAGTACTGGAATAAGTGGTATGGCGTAACAGTACTGGAATGAGTGATATTGCGTAACAGCACTGGAATGAGTGATATGGCGTAACAGTGCTGAAATGAGTGATATGGCGTAACAGCACTGGAATGAATTTTATTGCGTAACAGTACTGGAATGAATGTTATTGCGTAACAGTACTGGATTGAATGTTATTGCGTAGCAGTGCTGGAATGAGTGATATTGCGTAACAGCACTGGAATGAGTGATATGGCGTAACAGTACTGAAATGAGTGATATTGCGTAACAGTACTGGAATTAGTGATATTGCGTAACAGTACTGGAATGAGTGATATGGCGTAACAATACTGAAATGAGTGATATTGCGTAACAGTACTGGAATCAGTGATATTGCGTAACAGTACTGGAATAAGTGATATGGTGTAAAAGTACTGGAATGAGTGATATGAAGTAAAGATTCTGAAATGTTTTTTCTTTTTCAGACAAAAATGACCAAATTGTTACTCATACTCACAGTCACGAGGTAAGTGAACGATTTTGTCATAAATTTTAAACAAATTGATATCAAATTGTATTTTAGAAAACTATATACAAACATGATCTAAATGATACCCAGCAGCCATAATAAATCAGATATAACTTGTCTTTGTAGAAACTGGAACTTCACAACAATTCCATAAAATCCAAGAAACCAATCCAAAATAATATTATTAAGAAGAATGAGGTGGACATTAATGAAGCCTGGGGTAAACTGATGCATTATATAACTACCGTACAATACCTCTGTAATGACAGTAGGCGCATGGGAAATATCAAAGATGGCGGATGGAACGTGTGCATGGACGTTAACATCCAACCAAATAAATGTATAGCATATGGTGTCGGGTAAGTACCATATAATAATAATCTCACGTACATTGTGTGAACACCTCAAATAAGCTGACGTGATGCCAAAACAACTAAAACTAGTTTTCTTCGTGTTGTTGACGGACTAACACTGATTGAAATAAACATGTATCCCGTCAGATCAGCATAATCTCGTATATATTTCCTAATGTTTAACGCCAAATAACGATTGATAGAAAACAGAGACATTAAACGAACCGATTCGGATGTGGTTCTTGTTCTTAATGATGTAACTTACTATACATAAAAATACAGCGTGAATGATTTTAGTGTTTGTGGGCAATTTTAAATAATATTGTTTGATATTGCATCATGTTTATACAAACATAGCAGTATTCGTTCGATTAAATACCGGCAAAGACAGACACGGGATGCATGCACATTGTAGTAGCAGGGATTGACTACACACTAGTAACTGGTTACATCGCTGTACACCATGTAATAGCTTATGTATTCTGTGTTGACAGGGTTGGTCATGATTGGAGTTTTGACAATGCTATGGGCGAATATGGCTGCAACGTTTATACATTTGACCCAACGTGAGTAGAATCAAAACACATCATTACAATATGTATCACTAACGTGCATTAGACCAAAGACACTAGAAAATACGTTATGTACATTATGTTAGACAGACATTGTCGGCGTGAGTTATTGCGCCCTCGCCGATTGATTCACTCGGACGCAAATTAATCAGAGTTAATCCGTCGAAGAGGGTGCAATAACTAACGTTTGTCATATTTAATTCAACTGCCTACATGCGATATGCAAGTATAAGCTTCACATACTGGCGTGTTGGTAAAGTAAAAATCCATAACTTAAATAATAACGTGAATCCTAAATATCAAATTATAAATATTTCACCATTTTTTGAAACCTTACATACGTGTTAGACATAAATGCAAAACCGTTCCAAGTTGAACAATTCTACAACTCCATTTATGGGGTTGGGAATACACCTATCTGATTTATTTTAAACAGCACTAGAAATGTACGCTACTCGTAGTACTGATCGCCGATGTACACTGATTCAATAATATGAGGTAGATGCTGTTAAAATATGCACGAAGACTGTACAGCGAGAGTATCGACCGATGCGCAGCGAATCATGTTCATGTGGTCCTGTACTGTATGAGTGTATATTTTGCGGTATCCTCGTAATAACCGTATTATTATACATCTTGTCGAATCAATCGCTTGGTCTAAGAAGCATAAAGCTGGAAATGGTGAAAATAATCATTAGAACTTTCGCGCTATTAATTTCGTCTTCAAAAGCGTCCAGCTTCTTTGGAAATACCGCGTAATCCTAATACCGTAGGACGCAGTCACCCACGCAACATAACTTATGGCGCTACAGTGAAAGATGCTACTAGTATTTCACATACTATGCTAATCTAAATTCTAATGGACAAATATAGTATGGAGGGAATGACAAATTCATTCACATATATCTACTGAACCTGTAACGTACGTTTCAAAATGTTACACGTTAATACCCTTTGGCATAGTTATATTTAATCAAGAATAAATAACACACTACTAAATATTGTATGTCAAAAGTGTAATAGAATAGAATAGAATCTGTATTGCTATCATACCCCATATTTGAATACAACACAGTCCCTCTGAATAAAATAAAGTAATACATTTTGAAAACATAAAAAACCAACACTAACAATACATCGAAACAAATCAAACACGTTCAAATTTATAAACGTAGAAAAAAATGGTTGTATTAACAAACTGATATTAGACATAATTCTAGTTAACTTATTCATAATCTTGTTAAAAGCAATCAAGATCACTTTCTGCACAATGACGCTGGAATATCCCTTTCCAAATTGTCATTGAGGACATTATTTATAAGCATGATAAACAGTGGTGTATAATAGGTATACGTAGACTCTCCAAGACTTTAAAATTCTTTAGTTTTTATGCCAGTATACTGGGATTCTGAAGCTTGCCAATAAAATAAATCTTCTATCGTGAAATTCTTTATCTGTTTGTGTTTTACATCCGTACACTGCTCTGCCTTGCTTTGTTTATTTATTTCAACTCTCTTGGAACGCATACATTTATTATTATAATTGTACATTATCGGTACATTTTGTTGTTCTGAAGTACTTAAAACAGAAAAAACAAATTTATTTGCTTTTATAACATTCTGTTTTATAAATTGGTATAAACTACAGCGCGCAAAGTGTTTCGAAATTGTTATTAAATTTAATATACTTTTCAATCAGAGCTCTAGTAAAATAGTATTATAATGTTCCATATATTCATCAGTATTGACGAAGAAACTCACAAACACGCAGAAAGGGTTTGGTTTTACAATATTGGATTGTGTGATAAAGACGACGACAACGTGACTTCCAAAAGTGGCCGAGGTGCGAGAACTTGGATATGTCGAACACTCAAATCCATCAAGACTATGCTTGATCACGAACAAGTGAGTATATTTTGCAAGCGTTTAAAAAAAAATATGAAACTAAATATTCCGAACGTTAGTTGTTCTAGAAATGGGGGGGGGGTGACGTAGAGTAGTTATAAACATTGTTCTTCGATTCCAATTATGTGAAACGAGTAGACGGTAAGCTCATTCTGGGTGTATTAATGATAAAAATCAACTATAATACGATATATCATTGTGTAAAACATGTTATGCTTATAATGTTGTTACATTGTACTTAAAATATATTTAACTCGTCACTTGATAGACTTATTCCAGTGTATATAATTCACGATTATTTTTCAGGAAGTGATCGACGTTTTGAAGATTGATATCGAGGCTCATGAAATGCACGTTTTCCCAGAGATATTGCAAAGTGGAATACTCAAAGATTTTAAGCAAATTTTATTTGAACTCCATATCTGGGCTATACCAAGACACGGTAGACCAGAGATAGCAATAGCCAGATATGACATGTTGACAGACATGCTTGCAGGACATGGCTTCAAGCTATTTTATTTCAATGAGAATCAGGTCTCGCCAGTAGTGAGTTGGGGAACTGTAGCAGGGTACCATTCCACAAATATAGAATTAGGCTGGATAAATACTAATTATCTACAGTAGTGAGTTGGGTAATCATAGCAGGATACGATTTCATAAGCACAGAGTAAGGGTAAGATATGATAGCTAGATGGAAATTTATATAATTACACTTACTTAAACCGCAACCATACTTACCATACCATAATTTCAGATGGACGATAACTCGTACGAGACTCTTCAAATAATAATGATCTACATTGCCGTGTTTTACCACCATACGAGAACCCTGTGTGTTTTTCGGACTCGCTGACAGATATAGTTTAATAGAAAATTATTAACATTTTGTACAAGTAACCTATCAATATTTTATTGTGAACATTTTATTTATTTAAATCATACCACATTTGTGTTAAATATTTTGTTCTATTATAATTTCTCCATGTTGGGTGGCCACTCTGCAGCGAACATATCAGTTTGGTGCAGGTATTTAAGAAATAAATCAGCGCAGTAGCAATATTGCACAATTCACTCCGTATATGTATTATTGCCATTATAAGTTACCTGTTTACAACAATATATTCATGAATGAAAGTGCGATGTTTATTTTTGCCATATTGACGACAGTATCACACGAATGTCCTCAAAACCGAGGTCAAAGGTCAAATAGCGTCAGTTATTGCTCACTAATTCGTGACGTCAATACAAATTTCGGGATATGAAACTAGGAATAAACCTGGCAAATATTCACTTGAATTCTGAAAAAATAAACTTACGTCATACTGTTCTACTCATATTACCTACATTTCCGTAATCCAACATAATTATATCAAATCTTATAATCTATGACGAATGTATCGAGGACTTGACTTATATGAGTCAACTCACTTGAACTTTAACGATTGCAGTTTATAATAGCTCTTGTTGTTCGGTTGAGGGTGAATATTGACACGACACAATTGATTGGATAAAACACAACTATTAACGCATTGATCTTTAATCACATCCAGTAGACATATGAGGTCGACTTACCATAAAATAATGACAGTGACAATGGCAAGGACAATGATTTCAAGTTTGTGTCTTGACCATGGAAAAGCGTGAATTGAATGAAGAATTGAGCTTTAGTACGAGTCAGAGACTTGTGTCGTGTATATCACAATAGAAGACAGGATACGAAACTTAACGAGCCTGGTAGTGTATACACACTACGCAGTTACGGGATAAAGTGACAGCGAGACGTTATACTTCAGCTATGGATAGTATTTATTCTGGAGAACATAATATGTATCATCGAGAGTTTGGTAACAACTAGTAATTACAAAGAAATCACAGTATTTATAAACCGCCAAGGATTCACACCGTGTAAACAAATTTTGGAGCTGATTATATAATTATGAGTGTTTCTTATTACGTTAGTATAAGTGGCCTTGATCATTAAAATGGCTTAAAGCAGTCAAGGTTGTGCTAGTTTTCCATATCTTTACATGCAATATCAAAACAGAAACACATTGGACTAACACTAAAATGATGTATATATATACATACGAAGAATGTATAAAGAATACGAGTGAGTACGAATCAATAACTGTGACTAAATGTTCCCGATAACTTGCGATTTTCAAAAAGGAAAAAGGGAAACTTTAAACAAAACGAAATGTTCACTAGAGGGCGCTACATATGTAACCGGCAGCAACACTGTTTATGTGATTATTGATGAATTCACACCCTAATCACCAAACTTGTTTTCTAGGGGAATATATGAATAATTTGAGATAAGCAAGCGAGATTCCAATGTCAATCAATCCTAAATCCCCCTCTAGTACATAATTCTAACATGCTGGTTTATCTGGGTCCTGTCGAAGCAGCCACGTGGTTCCAGTTTATGTGTTGTAAATATTGTGTGCGCGTGAGCAATGCATTAAAACAATATAGGTAAATACTTGTGTGGCAAAAACTAGCAATGAACATAGAACATGACTGTGAACCTGGACAGATTAAATTATGGAAATAGTATTCAATTTAGCGTTCAGACAGTAACTCTATATATGTATTCTACTATAATTCAACATGGCAGTTGGCACATGTAATTTGCCCCAAACAGCTGTCATGGCAACGATTATATTATAATTAGGTATGGATTATATATGTATGAATATTTAATACAGTATACATGTTCATCCCTTGGTACGCTATACGAGGTAACAGTCGATTTTATACAAAGTTCATAATTATATTTAAAACGTATTACGAACAATTGACGATCTTCAGTGAATTACGCCACCGCCAATAATTACTGGCACTTTTCATTCGATATATTTGACATTGGAACATTGATGTATTTTGGTTGTGGTAGTATAGAAAAACTGTCTGTTCACAAACATAAATCACTTGTTACACCCCATCACGTGACTGATTTTAATGATGGCGACTACTCGAAAGTTAGTTTTAACATCGCATTTTAAATGACATAGCTTTGTGTATAGTCACATTTGTCCACGCAATTGTGTCTAAAACAATATTAACAGAATATTATACAAAAAAATGATCGAAATCACAGCTGTTACCTTTTTAAAGTTGCACTCATGGAGTAGAGTTCTGTTCACTAGTATGCCTGCCAACTGTATGGCCCGCATCTACCGAATTTGAGCCATATTGAACGGAGGTTAGAAAATCCTCCTCAACGTTCAACTGTCTCTCATGTGAACCACACGTGTCCAACATGCCAACTGCATGGCCCGGACTCTCACCTACAGAATTTTTGCTATATTGGGCGGAGGTTAAAATGAATCTTTCGCAACCCTCTGCCCCTTAGGCAAATCACCCGTGTTCCTCAAACCAGCTGCATGGCAGGGAATAGCACCCGTGACCCACAGACGCTGTCTTAGAGATTGCCACCATTTGTTCCAACTGACAGGTCCCTCTGAGTCTTTGTGTTTGAACATTGGTACCTGTGTCACCAGGAATTTCACCTGAATGTTTCAATTTAGTGACACTCGCTTCACAAGAAGTTGCACCTTCACTGACTGTGTACCACAAAATAGGGATCTGACCATGCATTAGCCACAAGTGGGTGGGGATCGCAGCAGTCCAGGGCGCCACCTACGCCAACTTGTCAGGCTAACCCCGGGGGCTAACCATGCATGGGACTTGCACAAATCCACTATAGTAAGACTAAGCTTTGGGGACTCGTTTCTATGAACAATCAGCTGACGTATGATTTCTGCCAGTGAACTTGTGAGATATGTAACACATCTTTTCAAATAACAACACCAGAACATCGGAAAAGGTTCTAGGTATGCTACCTGTTTATAAAGGTTATGTCCCATCATCTCTGTACAGGCGACAAACGTGGGTAGAGTTGACTTTTCAGAAGCTCAGAAGCCAAAAGCCAAAAGCTCAGATGTTCAAGAGTGTAAAGAATGGAATAAAAATAAATTTTAAGAATTACTAAATATATATGTCAATACAAATACAGCTACTACATAGACTTTGTTACTACGATGACGATTACATTAAATACATCCATTTTGTCATCTGTATTTGACTTTGTTCCACTTCAAATGAATCGCGTGCAGCATGGAAGAGCCATTGATAAAATATTGGACGTCCCAAAACGATTCCAAACAGTGTCCCCAAACTATACAATGTAAACAATAAATGAATAGATAAATAATGAGTAAGTAAATATTAAATAATTATAATAAAAAAACTAATACAGAATTAAAAGTAATAAATACTAACAAAATAAACATAGTTACTATACATAATTATTAAGAAGTAACCAGTAAATTAACTAATTAACATCGCAATAATTAAATAAATGCATACATAAAGTCTCAACCTACTATTTGCACCCTGTGCTGGAAATGGCAAAACAAACAAAAGACATACACAAACTAGAAACTGTCTGGTGAGATTAAAACAACTGATGGCGGTATTTACTATGTTGCTTGGTATCGCCTGTAACTTAGATTGCAGGAATTTTTAACAGTAAGCCATTTGCGGTAAGTTTGTTTTAAACATTTTCTTTTTGAATATCTATTCCCGGAAATGTTGAATAAATTATTGCGCGGTGACGGTTAGTTTAATAAGGAAATTTGATTTTAAAGACTGATCTTGAAGTCAATAATGATTGGTCACAGTAACGAATCATTGATATAAGTGTCGGAAACTAAGAACCAATTAATGTTAAAATGTCATCATGGAAACGACCACAACAGAGTAATTATGCATATAAGCGCGTCTTTGACACTCCGTCCGGACTTGTCTATTAGTTTGTCCGAGTCACTGTGAATGACGCTGACTGGTTTGACCAATAGAAAGGTTGGGAGTCAAAAAGACATTTACTTTGGTCTTTTGAGCTGGATATCTCAGGATGACGTAGCTGTAAAATAGAGGATACTCGGTGTTACATTGATATAACCCAGAACAATCAAAGGGGTAAAAAGATAAAAGTGATATGTAATATCGATTATTCTCGATCACTATGCAATGGCTGCGATATTTGGTTTGACACAGCAATAGAGTGATACAACATAATACATTGAGTGATATGATGCAAAGCGTGTCAACTCAACACGATACACAAACTATTTACACCGCAATATGTCATACACCGTACTTGAACTTGAAAACAATATCACGGGGAGGAAATTCTTCTCCTCTAGGGTTCTCCACACGTGCCAGGGGGAATCTCGTCTCGTCTCTATATCTCGTCCCCCTGAGGTGCGGGATCGGGAAAGTCACTTAAACTTTACATTCAAATAAGACACACACAACGAAATACGTTTCAACTCTCATCTTAGTCGGTGAGTCGAGCAGCCATTCGCTAGTAATCAGCTAACAGATACGCGTAAACAAATTCATCATAACAACATTAGTTTGTGCTACTTTCAAGCGTTCACCTGGCGTCTGCCAGTTTAATTTGTGCTAGTGTCACACTAATTATTGCTCTCGGTAAACGATATGCCTGACAAACTGCAAATATCTCAAAAAATTCAAAAAGTTAATAATTTAATTTTGATACTTGAGGTGTCAGTGTAAACTACAATGTCAGAAGATCATATTGATTTTATTTTTTCGGTATATAACTATGACAATCTTGGATGAAGTGGTTACAACTTCGCCTGCAGTTGTTGTAATGTCTGAGAAAATATGTGGTAATAACAGATCACAACGACTCTCGAAAATACGGCCGCGGAATACCCCGCATCACGAGTGAAAATTATTTTCATGCCGCTCAAACTGTTAGGGCGAGGCCATGGTGTTGTTGTCAGTCATGATAAGTCACATGACAACATCTGTTAGTACATACAAGATGTGGAACTGTTTCAGCGCAACAGGCCACGAGTCAGCAATGTTTCTCTTGAATCATGTAATAATTTAATTTCCATCGATTAAGGGGCGGTGGTCGTCATGCCACGCATGTACGAAATATAGGTCTCATATGAACAATGATAGCGACTTTGAAGTACAAACAAAAAGGTTAGCGAGCTTTAACTAGATAATAGATTTGGTGATTGGAGAGTATCACACACGAATATCATAGGAGTCATCGGTAATTAGTGCCCGTTGCACCCAAGTCAAAACTCGTACTCGTGATTTCCATTAGAAGAGCGCATTGGATTGTGGAAGAATCGATGTTTATCAACACAAATGCACATGCACGGCGTGACGACAACCGCCCTTTAAGTTCCACACCGCGAAGAATTATATACTTAGTAGGTCATATGTCACACTGATCGTAACTGTACCAATGGAAATGCATTGTACATGATTAAATAGTAGTGTGTTTAATTGTCATTTCTAATTCATTGAAGTTTCTTTTATTTTACATAAAACTCGTTCACGCCTTTTGACACCGATTTTTCTGGGATCTTTTGCAACTACGAATCAGTAAGAGTGTACCAATATAAACATGGAAAATGACAGATTTGCAAGAACAATTCTTTACAGAGAAAATTTTGAAAATGAAAAACAGCTTGACTTTGGAGTTCTGTCTAAATATGAAACAGATTTTAAATTTGTTCGTTCATTTCAAAATGACTTAAAAAACCTATAGATTTTTAATTGTGCTCTATCCATGTTTTGTCAATGGTGTAGCATTATTAACACTCAGTAAGTACTAAATAATTGTAAACTCATAGTAATTGCTGACATATAAAGGAAATAACACCGAATAAATGGCATGGTAAATACTACGTCAAAATAAACGCGTACTGCGTGCGTGACTCGACGCTTGCGTCCTGCACCTAATCGCACCTAACTCTGTCCGGTACCGAAACGCAGCAAAACCACTTCTATAACTTACTCTAATTAACCTTGGAGCTCTCATTTGATCTGCTGTAAAGTTGATCAGAATAAGTTATAACCGTGGTTCTGCTGCGTTTTGGTAACGAATAGATTAGTCTCGGGATACAAGACAGCGTCCTTGGTGAACAAGCCGACCACAGATGCACGCGACGCAGAAGTGCGGATTTTAAAAATGGAGATGGGTTTTTAAAATGAAAATGGATTTAAAAAAAATGAAAATGGATTCAAAACAAATTTAAATGAATTTAAAAAAATGAAAAAAAAAACGGATTTTAAAAACGAAAATGGATTTTGAAAACGAAAATGGATTTCAACGATTGTTTTTTAAAATAAAATAGAACTCAGAAACGAAAGCGGGTTTTAAAATCCATTTCAGAGTCGGAAATGGTTATTAAAAATGAATTATAAAATATAAATGAATTTTAAGAATGCAAATGAATCATCATCAGAAGGGACATATTTCGTATCTAACTTAACCCTATACACTAAACATAATATGTGTTCTATGTTTGTCACTCTCTTCGAGGAACAAGTACATGAGTGGCAATTTAGTCAAAGGCGAAACAATTGAATTAGAAATGTTCCTTATATCTCAGACAACCAACCCTGGTTGTCTAAGCTCATATAAATTATCGGCAATGCACGCTGATCAGTTCCTTTGCATAAGTCATTTGAGTATGCAAATGAAGCTAGTGAGGAGCCTCGTTTTAAAATACAAAAATAAAATTGGCTTAGATTGAGTTTGAAACCAATTTATTCACTTTGAAAATTTATTTTGTACTTAATAACATGAAAAATAATAATATTGATGTACCAATAAATTATTTCGAGCCAGAAAATAGCAGCCATTTCACAGGCCGACCGTATTTAATGCAGAGAGCGTGAAACCCGTCCACGCAACCCATCCACGCAGAGAGCGTGAAACCCGTTCACGCAACCCATCCACGCAGAGAGCGTGAAACCCGTCCACGCAACCCATTCACGACAAAATCATTATGATTTTATGTTAAACTGTGTATCACTGCGTAAAATTCGGGTAATCTTTATTTGTGACGTCATCTGGGTTTAGGAATGTCCTCTCTTCTCGCAGTAAGAGATTCGCCGTCAGTTGTCAGTTCCATCGCTGTGTTAATATACAATGTGTTGAACGGCTCTGCAATAAAACTATAACAGCAATAGTTGTGCGTCTGTAGTGTTGTGACCTTTGACCTTATAATTAAAGTACCATATACATAGCGTCAACCACGTACGTAGGAAAAACGTCAGCGCAGCACATGTAAACGATAAACTAGCCGCCGAAGACAAACTCTTTATTCGTTGGAAGCTTACCAGTACCCTAAAACACGAGAGTTTCCGACAGTAGAATACTATTACTATTTCGAATTAGGTTTAATGATAGCATGTTTAGAGCTTTTTTTGCCATTCGATAATATCATAAGTAATAAAATTAAGACATAACAGGATATGACTGAATAATGAAAACAAAATATTAATTTTAGTCACACTATTTCCTCCTAAAATGACTCACAATAAAAACAAATGCTATTTTCAAAGTTTTTTCACAATTCAAATAATGTGATATACTACAGTAAAACAGCCCCAGTTCACTACACATCTAATATCATGTTGTTAATTTTTATCCAGAGGCAGGGGTTGTATTTTAAACGGTTGTTTTTATTTGACAAGATACTAGAATAACCATATCTGCTGATTTTAGAGTAGAATGTTAGCTAGCGAAAACTTGCTGCTTTTGAAATGAAAACTGGTAAAAGTGAGTAATATCCTAAGCCATAGTTCTAACATTGACAGTATCAATGTAGTTTTATTTTTACGATTTGCAACACTGAATTTGGTTAAGAACTAGACAATTCATTTTTGTGAAAACATTTTAATCAATGTTTCTGTGTGTAATATACTCGTTTATGGCGAGTTTAGTACAACACCTTGAAGGATTGGCAACAAGATATGTCACCCTTCTCGATTTCTAAAACAGAGTAGTCCCACTTGATTCGCCCTCTTATCAGCCATACGAAGCGATGACGCTGGGTTTATCCTCATACATTGTTTTTTCAAATCTGCAGTTGTCACCTGTTTGCATTGTCACGTGCATCATTGTTTCAATCTGTGTAATAAAGTGGGGGTGATTATCTCTTCGATTGGGACTCTCTTTTGTTAGGTACACTCATCTGTGGCTTAATCTCTTGAAACAGCCCTTTCGTACGAAACATATTATACATTTATGCATAAACTAGTTGTGGAAATGTGACAGCCGTGTTTATAACCCAGCATCGCTTGTTTCACGAGTTACTGAATATAATTCATCCAGTTTCTGCACCAATAGCAGCATGGCCATGATATTCAGTCCCCGACAAACTGCGACTCTTTGTTGCTTGACAATGATTATACTGCTTCTAGTTCTTTTATACGTCGGTAAGTGTTAGTTTTCATTCATTCATTCATTCATTCATTCATTCATTCATACATACATAGTTAATTCATTTATATAAAATAACAATATAATATCGTACAACAAAGTTACGTGGCAAATTATATTATCATTATAGTTATACCCTAGCAGTATTACACTATCATGACTTGTACTAGTAGGGTTTTCACATTGTTTTGAGCGTGACTAAAATCACCTAAATTAATAATAGTCTTGTTCGAATTGCCATCATTTTTATTATCTGTACAATATTGTTTCCAAAAAGAAATTTCATTCTCTATATACTGTCTTTCATTTTGACATTGTGGCATAATTTTGATAATTTGAAGCAGACACTGAATTTACCGTCGATTCATTTTATTCAAAATAAGCAATTAATACATGGAGTAGTTTCGTGCGTATTGCCGCTGTTGGAAAATTCCCAGTTTTTCAAATCTCCATCCAAGATGGTTGCCGTTATCCATATTAACCATCCCACCAACATTCGCGGCATACCTATTGTCCCACTATTATATGAACTACTAAACTACATACAAAAATAAAAGACGCATCAAGGGAAATAATAATATGCAAATGAATCTATTCGTCGCGCCATGCACTATATGGCCATTCCGTGATTTCACAGGTTGATAAAAATAAAACATTAGGTCATTATTTGTAATTTCATATTTTTTTTAATTAATCAAAGACAATAACCTGTTTTCTGAATTGTCCTAATTATACAATGTGTGACTTTCTTCACAGACAGCAATGACCCTGCACGAATTAAAAAGATAACCGAATATAGAAAGG